TTACGGTTCACACCGTGACAAACAGGATCTAGAACTGAAGTTCAGATAAACAGGTCGGAGATCACGTGCCGTGATCTTCCTCTAACTAAGCATCACGGTTCGCACCGTGACAAGTACTACTAGAGTTATATATATAAAATTATTTTATTTATATTAAAACACTTAAAGTTATTTTAAAGTATACTGTATAAAAAAGTAAATATAATAAATAAAATTAAACATAGATAATTTATACCGCTTAGACTCTTACTATATTTACACTATTTAGTAACCCGATAGGTAACCCGTAAACCTATATAGGTTACCTAATATAACCCAAAACTTAACCTAGTTACGGCTTAGGTTTTTTCGGGTCTGTGGGTTTGCGGGTTTTAGCGTAGTTTAGTTTCAACACTGTATAGAACTACCAATAGATATTGTATGAAAAACACTCTGAGTTCTCTGACTAACTTGAATGATAAAATCCGCGCTTTTAACGATCTGTGCGGACAAAGCTGACTAAAAGTTACATACAATTTGTGTGTGCGACACCATCATGGTAGTCCGTAGGTTTTCGGGTATTTTGCCCTGTTTTCAACCATAGGTTGTTGCACCCTTGGTTTCGACAGAAATTAAAATGGAAGCTGTACGGAGTACTCTTGATGTTAACGAATCCTTCTTAATGCGGGCACTTATAATTGGCTAATTTAAAGGCACGTTCCACTACTGTCAGCATCGGCGTCAAAGCGTTCCGTAGAAGATGGAAGCCAGCTGATTCTACGTGGACCTATCCTATATTAGCGCCAACGTCGTAAAAATAGCATCTCTGGGGAATTTCTAATCCCTCATGGATTTGAAGCTTGGATGGTTAAATTATAATGACTATTTGTGCGATACACAGTTAACTTGAGGGGTAACTGTGTCAACTTATAGGGATCAGAGTCATGTCACCATTTCATTGACGCCGAATCTAGTACTGCAAGTCGAAGAGCTTCTTTGTTAGAGCGTCTCATCTTGAGAGCAGTGCTTTGAACCCCACTATAGGGGCTTTGAGTCTGTACATTATCTGTGAATGTTCACTTCAATTCTTCGAAAGCCTCGGAATTTTGCAGTTCCTGCTAACTTCCAACTTACCTGCTCTCGAATCGGGGTACAACTGATCCTTTTTTTTCTAAGACATTGGGGAGTTAACTGGAGTGGTTATTGAAAGAGAAAATTCTAAAGCCAGGGTCTTTTGTAATGTCTTTCGTGATTGTTCTTTGTATTCTCTTGGAGGCCTTTGCATAAGACAAAAGTATCCTAAGAATCCAACTTCAACCCACCATACCTGCTACTACTATGGTGAGACTCTTATGATTCTTACCATTTGCAATGTTGAACGCAGATACCCCGAATCCCATCCGAGCGCAAAATAATCCGGCCTCGGTGGCATTAGCAGGCCAGGATGTGGTGATCACGAAGACACACAAAAACCTTGCACCAGAAGCATCAGGTTGGTTAGATCCGGCGGCAATAGTGACAGGTCTCTACCATGGAACGGTTTCATGGCCCTCAGCCAGCGAGTTGACCACATATCCAACACCAAGTGAGACGTCGGCTGTTAGTGGCATCAGCTCAGAAGCCATTCCAACCGGTACACTGGATACAGCAAGCTCATATCAATCACGATCATCAAAATCAACGTTCTGGACTACAACTACAACTTCAAGTTTAAGCTCATCCTCTCTAACATCCACCCCAACAACAAGCAAAATCTCGGCAAACGGCGACTCAACTGCCTTCTCCGGTGGTCCATCAAAAACAACCAAAATCGCCATTGCAGTCCCAGTCTCCACAATCAGCCTAGCTCTTGTCCTCGCGCTCCTATTTTTCCTCTTCCACCGACGATGCCGTGAAAAGGAACGCAATGCCCTGCCACCACCTTACGATATGGCAACAGGCCGTCGAAGCGTGGTTCCAGCACATGAGCTAATGATTTCTCCCAAAACCTTGACGCAGGAGCCAAGGTGTTCACTCTCGACACCAGCAATGGCCTCAACGGCAACGTCAATGCCATTGCCTATGCCGCGGATCCCGATAATCAGCATCTCGCCCTCCACGGAAAATCGGGGCCGAACGCCTACTCCCGACCCCAGTCCTAGCTCGGGCTCTGTGCACCGCATGCCTTTGGCCCATGGATCGAGTGATTCTGAGACGGAGCTTGGTGTTGCGGTTGTTCTTTCGATGGATCAGAGGCGGAGTGCTACGGAGCAGGATTTGAGGGGCCGGGTTGCGTCTGTTACATCGTCGAGAGGGCCGTCGCGGTTGAGTAGAATGCCATTTGTGGATTTTTCAGATGATGATGATGATTGTGCTGTTTCTGTTGTGTCGGATTTCGATGGACGGAGGAGGGAGAGAGACTTTGATGAGGTTTCGCCGATAGGTGAGCAGGAGAGGCGGTTCTGAGGAGTTTGAGGGTGTCCTTAAGATGATATGATTATAATGAAGCTAAGCTTGGTCTAGGGCGTTGGCGTTTTGGGTGAGTTCAGTGAGGGAGGGGTTCATTGTAATATGCTACAAGTTATGGATTTCAGACCACATACACGAACGTTGGAATTTGACTGGAATGATATCCTGAACACAATACTAGCCATAGGATGTTAGTCATAGTATTGGGAGAGCTTCGGCATTATGTGCAGTTTGAAGACGAACTGTTGATGCTGATTCTTGTTGCGATTATCTTCCACCGCCAAAGTCAGCCTTATGGGCTGTGGCCTTGCCGTGAGTCAACTCCCGAAGAGCCATAGTAGCGTACTGGCTTGATCCCAACTGGAACTTCAAGACAACGGCCAGCTTGTCAGCTGCGGTCTCGTCGGTCATGGTGGTATCGGCATTCTCATCCTCGGACTGCAGCTTTTGCAACTCCGTTTTAACGAACTGTTGATCATCCTTGGCATAAAGCTTCACGTCAAAAGAGTACTTGTCACCAATCATGCGGCTGAAGATCTTGCGGTAGCCTCCGCTAAGACTGATGTCCTTCCACTTGCGGCGCATGTTGGACGGGTCAAGGCGACCACCCTGCTCGCTTTCCATGAAGCGACGATAGAATTCCTTCATTTCGTTCTCGGGATAGATGATATCATATCCAGGCTGGGGAAGCACCAGGTCAAAAATGGTATATTTGCCACTGGCTGCCTCTTCAGCCGTCAGAGCACGTGCCCGCATGAACATGTCCTCGACTGCAACGGCACTGTCCTCACCCTGAGGTACAACAATAATTTCACCATCAGCATCGACTGTCTCGGGTGCCTCGACCGTAGAGGCAGATTCCTTGTCACGGTGCTCTTGGATGATGACGAGATCGCCTTCCACTACCCGGTCGCCGTAGAGTCGCCAGCGCTCACTTGCAGCAAAATTCCAGACAAGCGACTGGTATGCGTGTACATACATCAATCGGAGGTTCCGGGGAATGCTCTGCAGCGCACCTAGATAATCCTTGCTGTTCCTTCCGAGGTGGCGGATTAGATTGTTTTCAGCGGAGAACTTGCGGGGGATCTTCTGCAGAGCGTCGGTGACGCTACCGCCGGTCTGGAAGATGTTAATAGCCATGGCGCGATCCTTGTCATCAGTGCCGATGTTAGCAGTGGACATTTTCCCCTCCATTGCCGCCTGAAGAGATTCAGGAGCATACTGCAGAATAGCATCGCATGCGCCCTTGAAATCTCCCTGCAGCATCTTGACGCCGACTATGTCTGTCCGGGTTGCGAAGGTTCCAAATCGCTGGAGACCGTAATAGTTAAAGTATCCTCGCCGGTAGAGGTTCTTCAGAGAGGCGCCGACGACCTCGGAGGCCTTGGAAATTGCAGCCTTGGGGTCACTCAGACTCACGCCGGGAATTTCAACGTCGCGCAGAGTAATCACAAACTCATTGCCCTGCAAGTCCCCCAGCTCCAGACCTTGCTTGCGGTACTCGAAGTCGCCGATATAAGCATTACGCAGTTCTGAGTTCACCTGTGCAAGGCGATCGACCTGAACGCGTACCGCACAGGCACGCTGGACGGTCACACCCCGCCTATCCTTGGTTCCAGCGAATTGTAAACTCTTTGGGTTCATCTTCATTGAGCGAGCGATGTATCCAATGACTTCCATTGTGTCCTTGTTCTCCTTGTAGATGGTGAAATGCAGATATGGCCCACCGAGTTCTTCCCAGTTTGTTCGGTGGCCCTGCATCCGGCCATTAGTCCGTCCTGCGGTCGCACCGCGCTTGAAACGGTTGTTTGCCGCGGTGATCGCCATGTTTCCATCGGCATCGGTAGAAGACTCTAGCTGAGAGTTGAAAATGCGACGTATGGCCTGGTGGATTTTGGTGCGAAGGTCGCGATCCGACACGGCAACAGTGACGTTTCCAAATTCACTGGGTCGACCCTTTGGCTTAGCCATAGCAATCTTGTGGAGTGCAATTATTTCGGCGGCGTTCAGAGGGCCAAGGTATTCTTCCAGAAGAGTGTGGTCCTCTTCCGAAACCTTGAACTCAGCTGGGGTTTCCGCCTCCTTGACCGGGGTACTCTGAGTTTGCTCTGTAGCCTGGATTTCCGCCTCTGGGGCTTTTAGCACAGGCGTGGGCTCTGCTGCAGTAGGCGCAGACTTGTCGGGCTTGATGGGCGCATTGAGGCTTCGGAGGTGGACAACTTCGCCGGAGGTCATGATCTCGTTGACCATGAAATCCGTGTATCTGCGCATGATTGTTAGCGGAATCCTAAACTAGAGAAACGGGATATCTTGCCTCTTTTTCAGGATACCCGAGAATCCTTCGCTGTCGTTGCTCACAAACTCTGTGATACCGACCTCGCCTTCCTTCAGAGCCTGCGCATCGGAGACTGCAGTAGTCTCAGTTGCGCCACTAACGGCGACAGCGACCTCATTTGAGACCACATCTTCGGTCTTCTGTCGCTTACGTGGAGATTCCACATCATCCTTCTCCATATTGTCTCAATCGTTCGTAATGGGTGGGGAGTTGGATGGAGAAGGTTGAGCTTCAGGAACTTTTCTTGACTAATTGGGTTTAGCGCACGAGGGCCAAGTGTGGGGCAGCCCTACTTGCCGTGTTGGGACGGGGAAACATCGACTTCACCTCTACCCTCATCTCAGTGAATGTCTGACTTCAATAGTGAACAGGCCCATCCAGGGTAGCCTTATAAGGCACCTCTTTTTATCTATCAAGCCTATCATTGGAAATATAACCATAACTGTGTGAACACAAACTGACAATCCCTTAAATACCTTCAATGCCCCGAATGGAATTAACGTGTAACAGCAGTGGTTTGACAATTGGTATTCAATATACAGAGAGAGGGAACCCCCAGTGCAAGAACCAAAAATCTCTTGAGGATGGAGTAAATCATTGTGAGCCTTTGGAAAACAATCGCACGTGGACACTTCCGATGCAGCTACCATCACAGAAACCGAGTCTCGGATTTTGATCTCATCACCAGTTGACCATTGTCATCATATACAGGTCTATTATCTCCTAATGGATGCCTTCGACCATTGGGACAAGGTGCAGATGTTTATAGTTGATGAAGGAATTCGGGAAATCGCCCACGATGATGATTTCGTGAAATTCATGAAAATTAATCATTGCAGAAATAAATTGTTTCACAGACTTTTGGGGCAAGCCCTGAGAGACCATTCGTCCAATGTTTTATCAAGTCTTCTCAAGAAGAATAGCCATGCCTAAGCCGAACAAGCTGCATAGGCTTACCTCAGATTGGATCGAGGTTTTTGCAAAATAGCTAGACAAATTTGAAAGCACGTATGGTTTTTTTTCTGAAGGTCTAGAAGGAGCAGAGTTAGCATCTCCGTGCTCGCTGCTTGTCTACTGAACTAATCTCGTTGTAAACCAGAGATCAAGTTAGAAGCAACATGTCTCAGTTTAAGGAGTCGAAGCATGTAACTATTGCGAAAAGTATGCAGCACCTCCCAGATCTCTATGCCTAGCATGAATCAAATACGCAGCATCAAAATCCTAACTCAAAAATCTGGCAAAAGCACCACACTTCATAACCAGGACAACCACCAATTCTAAATCAGACGTGCCGACAGCGCAATTGACTGGATGCTACACATGCAACGCAGCGAAAAAAATTCGCTCAACCTCCGATCCCAGCTGACAAGTCGGGCTGATCGGTCCTGTACTGTGGAAGGAAGATGAAGCCGAACGTCAAGGTATAAAATGGGAGGTATTCGCCCGCTGTTCTGGACATCAGTTCTGTAGGAATCTATCTTCCATCTCTACCAAGTTTACCCGCAGAGTTATTCGGTGAGACTCGTTATTATCTCACATTTATCACATATCTGAAATTAGCTAATCACTCACTGTCATTGCTGAATAGCTCGATCCAAAACAATGAAGCCCAACTTCATCATCACGCTCTTAAGCCTTGCTCTGGCCGCTGTTGCAGCTCCTACTGGTATGTCACCAGCTACTCGGGCTCTGAGTTTGATTTTAAGAAAAAACAATCTAACTGAGTGATCATAATAGGCCCTGGCGGACTTGGCGGCGGCAGTGGTGCTGGCGGTTCCGTGAGCGGTGGCGGCGGTGGCGGCGGTTCAATCGGCGGAGGCCTTGGTGGAGGATTCGGGGGTGGCTTCGGCGCCGGTGCCGGTGCTGGTGCAGGTGCCGGTGCCGGCGAAGGGATCTAAAAGGATCTTTTGAGGCTGGACTGGTGCGCTTAGCATCGTGTAGTCCGTTGAAGTGCTCTCTCGCTATGACAATAGGAAGATAGGACTGATAACAAGCCCTAAGCCCTAAAACCTCCTTTCAGCCCTACTTGACTCCTACTTAATTTGCATTCATGAATTTGTAGACTTCACGTAGTTTTCATAGCGCGATTGGCTGTGAAGTAGAGATCGCGATAGTAAAAGGAAATAGGGAGATTGATGATGATAAAAGTGCTACCGCTCAGCCCAGAATCCATTGTGATTCTTTTTCTATCTTCCAGGATGTGGTGTGTACATGATATATTGGTTGTATTAGGATGAACTGCTCTGTACGAGTTGAGTGAAAAAAAGCAAGCAAATGGAAAATGCATAGTGAAAAGGAACAAGGGGATGTTTATTTTACAGCTCATCTTTGGGAAGATCCTCCGTCTCCTTGGGCTGTTCCTTGCCCTTGCCCTTGCTCTTCTCAGCCTCGGGCTTCTTCTTTTCTTTAGATCCCTTCTTACCGCCACCGTTGCTGCTGCTGCTCTTCTTCTGCTGGCCAGCGTTTGCAGTCATCCTCTCGTACATGCGGTTAAGGATGCGCTCGAACTCGCGCAGCCGCGAGTCGACCTCCACAACGGTCAAAGCAGGGTCATCAGACTCAGAAAGCTTCTCTTGCAGACTGAGCTGGGTCTCGAGCCAGGGGTTGGTGGAATCGTAGGCATCTGTGATGGCCGTGAGGTCGGCGGGAGTAAAGAGGGAGTACTTGGGGCCTGTAGGCTTGGCCGTAACAGCACTCTTGGTAGATGTGGTAGAAGATGAATAAGCGGAGTGTGCGTCTTCATCGAGATCATCGTCAGAGGCGGTGGGGCCTGGGGTCGATGAGCTGGTCTCGGTCTCGGTGGAAGTGGAGGAGGCGCTTGAGGCCGAGAGAGAAGATGAGTAGATCTGCTCGTCATTGTCGATCTGGTTCTTGATCAATTCCTTCATGGACTCGGCATTCTTGAGCATGTCCTTGAGCAACTGCACGCGTGCTGGGCGAGAAGAGCTCTCCTTCATCCGCTTTAGTGCAGGGTTGACGATTGCCTTTAAGTCCTTGAGCTTTGACTCAAAATCGGCAGTCTTAGCGTTGTCACCCTCTTCGTACAACCAGTCACTGGTTTGAGAGACTCTCTGGGAGAGAACAGTCAGCTGATCCGGCTTGACTGCCTTGATGAACTCCTCGTTATCGGCAAGGTCTCGGCTACGATAGATGAAAGATTCCAATTCGTTAATGGCCTCTTCGCGCAGGATGCGGTCACGGTCCGAATTATCGAAAGCAAGGAGGCGGCCGTTAATGCGACTGAGCTCTGCCACTGATGGCGCCGGAGTTCCAAGCGCAACAGACTTTAAGCTGATCGGGATGACTTCAAGCTTGACCTGAGGGGTGGCCTTTGCGTCCTTCTTTGCGTCCTTCTTTGCGTCCTTCTTTGTGTCCTTGCTTGATGAGGGAGTGGACTTGGAACTGGCGGAAGATAAAGTGGAGGAATCCATCTCGGGCTCAAGGGTGATCGATTCAAGAGGCTCGCCATCTTCGCCGAGGGGCTCCTGTTCGTCCTTCTTGCCAAGGCCGAAGAAGCCCTTGACGTCCTCGACAATCCCCTTCTTCTCGGGTTCCACCTCGCAGCTAACGGTACCAGCCATAACTTCAGGAAGGCCGTCCACGGGGCTGAGGCGAATCGTGAACTTCGTGGTAATGTTTGCAGTGGTGCAGCCAAAGATATCCTTGAGCTTTGTAACAGACGCAGTAAGGTTCTGGGTCTGGACACTGAGAATTGGTTGTTCTTCATCCTGGGTAACATGCTGGCTGAAGCTGAATTCAAAATCCTCCAGGTTCTTCACAGTGACTTGCTTCTCAGGACCAACCTGGGAAGTGGCAGTAAATAGCTTCTGATTTCTTTGCTTGCCGTCTGAGTTCCATTTCAAAGAGATGGGATATGTAGCAGCGTCACCAGTGCGGATATCTTTAACACGGAAACTGGGGCTCAGAGCAGCTCCCTTAAAGGCAGCACCAAAGACAGCCGCCTCATCAGCGTTGACATTGGTTCTGATCTTCTTAGAAGAACCGGCGAAGCTCTCCAATTGCTTCTGGACGAACGGAGTCCGAACGGCTCCACCATGAAGCACGATAGATTCGATATCGCTCAGTTGGAGGCCAGCCGCTGTCAGAGCCTGCTCCACTGGGGTTCCAATACGGTCGACATGCTCAGCAGCCATCTTCTCGAAGTTGGCACGGCTTAGCTTGTACTTGAAGTTGACATTCTCGTCGTAAAGTCCCTCGAGGCTGGTCGATGTCTCGGTGTTAGCGCTCAGAACCTGTCGGAGTTTCTCTGCATCCTTCCAGAGTCTGGACATAGTCTTTCCGTGCGCCTTGATTTCAGCCGGAGCAACCTTATCTTTGAGAATCTTGTCCTCGACCAATTGAGTGATCATATCGTTCACGACAAGGTCGTTCAGGGAGTCGCCTCCAAGCGACTTGTCCCAACCAGCTCCAACAACATGAACTTCTTGGATAGTCTTGTTAAATTTACCGACATCCTTTACCTTGCGGCTCTGAAGCCGCAAAACACTCGCGGTCGTAGACCCAGCGCCCATGTCATAGACGATGTGGTATTCAGGCTTCTCGCCATCAGAAACACTGGGGAAAGTGCGACTGGTGGCATAATTCAACCCGACAGCCAACCCATCACTAATAAGAGCCTGGATCCTCAGACCGGCCAGCTCAGCTGCCAACTCGAGGCTGCGCTTCTCCTCCGCGGTGTAGAATACGGGGTAGGTAATGACGACATCGCGGACATCAGATCCCTTTCCAGCCAAAGTATCAGCGTTAGCCTTGATCTGCTTCAACTGCATTGCCAGAATCTCTTCGACTAAGAAGGCTTCTTTCTTTTGCGCCTCTCCTAGCCGGTTGCTACGGAGAGCAACAGAGCCACGACCATCGGGGGCGGCCTCCAATTTCAACGCGGGGAACCTGCTCCAATAGGCCTTGACAGCCTCCTCGTTTCCATAATTGAACGGAACGCCCAAAAGAGTCTTCAAGTTGATGTAAATGTCGTCCGGGTACCGAGCCGCGAGGGCAAGCGCATCACCACCATAGAACCGTTCAGGGAAAGGTGCATCGCTCTCTCTTGTAGGTTTGAAAGCGACCGCAGCTGACTCTTTGCGCTTCGAATCTTTAGTGAGTACAATCTCGAGCGGAATGCCGGGTTTCACGAGAGCAGCCTTGAAATATTCCGTGCCGATGTCGACGCCCAGAACGGCCGATCCGGCGGCAGAAACGGGCCCAGCAAAGCTGAGGAGAGATACGAGGAATGGGATGACCACGAGGTATAGCATTGGCGAGCTCGAAAATTGTTGGCGATTTAAGAACGCCATGATCTAATTCATAGGCTCCGGGCTGCGGGAGTCAGCCAGATTGCCGATTCGGGGAGTTGCTTGTAGTTTCAACAGGGAAAAATAACCCTTTTGTGTACATATATAGAAAAACTGACAGACGTTCAATCACTTTACCGGTGTGCTGAATAGTGTGTTGTCGAGGTCCGGGCTAGCTTTGCGCCAGATGGATGGTCGGATGGAGCTATGGAATAGCTCGAGATTGGTGTTGGGTTGGCAGATGGGGGTAGGGGACGATGGACAGCAAAAGAAAATCAGAGAAATGGCGCAAAATTTAGGCCATTTGAAAGCAAAGGGATACTGTGGCCACCTGGCAGTAACGTAACTTGAAGCCTGAAGAGCTTGGATGAGGACACGGGTCATCATGCAAACACGCCGGACGATGCTTTATGTTTGCACCGCTTATCGTTATCGCTTCATGTCACAGCCCTAATTTCAAAACAGCTGAATTGGACACCAGATGAGATGTTTTATCACCATGATGGAAAGGGTGGGTTAAGAATGTGAGCAAACAACGATTCAATGACTAGAATTAAGATCTTCCTGATTATGGTTAAGAAGCGCCTAGTTGCCAAGAACCCCATTAATCACTGTCATCCTGACATCCAATTTTTTTGGGAAGTTTCTGTAAGTTTTCTTTTGGGCGTTCAAACGTTCGCCCGGTTTCTCAGAGGCCACTTCCAAGATCCATGATATCAGATCTGACAAATCAACTTCTATTTAGATCAATTACAGCAGGACAAACAGAAGGGTCAGGCCAGGAATGAACACCGCAGCGGATTGGTGGATAACTGAAGCACTGTTAAAAGCAGGAGACGAGGAGACATTAGGAGCGGAATTGAATGAAGTAACGAGGGTTGACTGTTCTGGTGCAGTGAGCTCAGTAGCCGAGGGAGGAACTGCGACAGAAGTTGTGGAAACAACAGGGGGAGTTGTTTGTTCCGTGGAAGGGGCTGTGGGCTGAGAGCAACCGTCAGTGCAAATGGAAACAGACGTCACGGTGGTCGTATCAGCGTGGGCCATGGGGTGCGTGTAAGTTGACGAGCAGCTTGTGACAGTGCTCCAGGTGACTAGTTTAATCAGCAATTGTAATTGATGGAGTGATCAGAATTCTACTCACTTGAGCATGTGGTTGTGGTGTAGGTGGTGGTCACGACGACCGGAGGAGACGTGGCTGTGGAGTTCTCGGTCTCACAGGAAGTGATGCTGACAGGAGGAGGCGAAGTAGAATTGTCAGTCACTCTGGGTGTTGAGCTCGCAGGGGAAGAAGCAGGAGCATCAGTCACACAAGGAGTTGAGGTTGGCTTCGTAAAGGGAGGCAGAGTTAAATGCAAATTTGTAGGTTCAGTCTCACATGGGGCTGAGTTATATGTCAGAACTGGGGGATTAGTAGGCATCACACCTGAGAGAATAGTAGGCGTGTCGGTCTCGCATGGGGTGGAGCTCTCAACAGGCGGGGGAGTCTCAGGAGGCGGGGTCGGATTATCAGTTTTACATGGGGTCAAGGTAGCTGTTATCACCGGAGGAATAGTAGGCGTCACAACTGGGGGAATAGTCGGTGTGTCTGTCTCGCACGGGGTGGAGATCCCGGGTTTGGGAGTTTCAACAAGAAGAGTTTCAGTCTCACAGGGAGTCTTTTCTGGGGGACCACCGTCACCGTGACCACCATGGTCACCGTCCCACCAAGGACCATCGTTATGCACAGCAATGTGAGCCTCATCAGCATGTCTGGGAGAAATGACCATGCCGCCTGTCAAGCTCACGGCGTAGAGGAGAACAATTGGAGTGACCCGCATCTTGACAAGCAAATGAATAATCTTGACGCACGGGAACAGATAGGGTTGATATGTTCCTTGAAACGAAGGACGACAGGAACCGAAGTGAGAGAGTTCCTAAGCGGTCTCTATCGACATTTGAAATGATTCTAGGACCGAGGCGTTGAAAGCAGTCGGGGGAGTAGAGCAGACTTTTAAGTGCCTCGGTGGTGAGATCTCCTCAAAGCTCTGATTCCTGTTCGGCTGGCTCACTGATAGCTCCGTTATGTTGGCTAGCATGGACCAGCTGGTATCACATTGGACACTCAAAAAAAAAGACGAAAGCCAGAAAAAAGCGGCGCTCATGTTCTAAGGTCAACTGGAACTGAAACGAACGACCAGGATTCAGCAGTCGACCCGAAATTTTCCAGCTAAGAGGCTGGTCATGGTGTACAGTGTGTGGATTGCCAGAACCCGAACTTTGCGCACGAGTCTGGTTGAATAGGCGACCAGGTACTGTGGTTGCGCCAGTGATAACTTGACAAGGTCTCAGACATTGACATTTAGATTTTGACCTCGAAACCCATAATCGGAACTAAAATCAAAGTGTTCAGAGCCCAATGCATGAGCGGATCCTGACCCTGATGATGCAGGTCGGCTCTTGGCAATGCGGGAAAATAGCTCTGTGATTTTTCATCACAATATCTACGGAGCACATACGCAGGTTCAGTTAAGATTTGCGGCTTTTAATTTTTTATTTGGTTGTATCTTTCTCTTTGTCCTGATACTCCATGGTGAAATGAAGTCTGTGAAATTCTCTATTACACACAGTATGAGATCAAGCTATGAATGACTCCTAGTTCAGCCGGCCTCAAATTTCCAAGGAAAAATGTGAGGAAACTGGAGAAATATCACCAATGGCTCATGTGGAGATCGGAAGCAAATCTCGATCCAACTTAACAAGAGTGAACTATAGGACTCCGGCGAAGCATTAAAGGCTCCGAGAACAGCCCGACATCGATGCCCTTCTAGAGTCTGGACTGAGGTTATCGGGACCTATTCACAGGCGATGATTGGAAAATGGTTGATTGTTTTCTGTCGATCTGTAGTATGTTAGTAAATGTGATTACACTGCCCCGGTGCCCAAGTGTGTTGTATCTGTAGAGTACAGAGCATAGAATACGGAGCAGTCACAACGAACCCCTGACCAAGTGTATCCAGAGGTGACGCGAGCCCACGCAGTTGAAAGTGTCTCAAAATGACCCAGTTTAAGCCAATGTAGTATAGTGAATGTTGGGAAGTAGCCGAGACCCTTTCTTCCGCAGCCTCTGCATTATTGGAAGTTTACCGTGTTCAAACCTCTTCCGGTCCAGACTATTGGATTTCAAATTCGACCGATGAAGCTCTTAATCCTGTTTTGACAAAAACCAATTGAACAATGGACAATTAGATGAGCTCTAGGGCTTCGAGGGTACACTCCTTGAGGCAAAGCCCTGCGAGTGTGAGATTAGTTTACCTCTACACCAGTAGTGTGATGGATATGTTTTCATTTAACGCAAGTGGACCGAGAGATGGTTAATGAAGGTAAAGATTTCATGTCCCAGTCATCGCACCGGAAAAGATAACGGTAAATGCTACTACTGTATAGGGGTGATTCCTTACACGAAGTGGGCCTCAAGCCACCAGATCCTTTTAGGTATTTTCCTGGGGCACACAGTGGTGATATTACACATCCCGTATATAGAACCAGAGTAAGGATTAATAGTCGGCAACTACCATTTGAAACCGGCAATGTACCCTGTCATTTTGTGACTGCGATAATGTCAACACAGGGTCTAATTCAAGGAGTGTGTCTAATCGTCTTCATCGTCAGAGCCACTACTCCACCCCGTCTCGTAGTACTCTCGAATCTCGCCAAGTCCATTTACTAAGGCCTCGCGCTCGTCGACTGAGACCAGACGTGCGGCAGTTGCCGAGATAGCTTTGATCCTCTGAGCTGTCCTCGTCGAAGCGGTCAATGCAGTAAAAACATTTACTCCAGAGCCTGTCTTAGGAGTCGGGAACATGTTGTACGGGAAACTGTCAAGAATAGGCAAGCTGAGTGACGTGTGGAAACTAAGATAGCGGGATAAAATGTGAGCGTGTTGGATGAGAAAGTGAAAGCAAATGCGCAAACTGAGAAACCTACCTTTGCAGCGTCGACTCCGAGTTGTATCTTCTAAGTTTGCGAAGGTACCCAACGTCCCTATCCTCGATAGATTCACTGTCCCTTTCAGGTTCCTCTCCACGGGTTACCTGAACTTGGTTAAAGATATGGGCGCCCTTGTTGTGCTCGCCGTCATAGGAAAAGTCAATGTCAAATTCAATTTCGGCTTGCGTTTTGCTGTCATTGATTTTGATTTTGTTGATGGAAGATTGCAATTCGAAGATGGTGTGCGTGCCATCTTCGCCGGCGAGAGAGGCCTCGAAATGCCGATACGGCCGCAATCTGGAAGGCATTGTGACGGTCTCAATAGCTGAGGCCAGCAGAGCTGTTTTCTGCCATTCTGATTGGCGATCGACGTTGAGATAGCTGGGCAGCTTATGCGGAATGTCAATAACTGGAGAGTAGACCGATGCCAGTGGAGAGATCGAGCAGAGTGACCTGGCCTTGTTCGTATCCTTCTTGAACTGGTGATGCTATGCAAAGTTCGAAACTTAGCCAACCGAAATCGCGATTCTTCAAAGTGGCACCACTGTGTCACTTACCCGCTGCGTTTTGGTGCTGTCTTCAATAGACCACACCCAAATGCTTTTCTTTCCAAATTCATCTCTCAGTCTTTCCATATACTGGGCAGCGAATCCGCCCCAAGCATCATCTGACCCGGAGAATAGTTGCAGTGCCCGCAAGTGGTCACATTCTTCAAGGAGAGGTCTCAGGTCACGGTCCAGCAGGTCGTGCTCCTTATCAAGGTCTTTGAATAAATCTTCTCCGACATTCCAATCCTCAAAGGGCATAGTCTGAGAGTTGAGGTCGTATTCATTTAGCTGAACAATGGATCTTGGATGATAGTAAATTCTGTTATAGTCTGACCAGTAGCGTACAGACTCTGAGGTCAGCCGAGGGGCTGGAGTGCCTAGATCCAAGCTTTTCTGATATTCACTTTGTTGAATCAGAGTTTGCTTTTGGACAATCTCTTGACCATCCCTGTGAGAAGTTAGATTAGAAGACTGGTCCATCAATTTGAACCACATACCATAATCCTTGGCCTGGCATGGAATCTTCATTCAGCTCGTAAAGTGCATTGTATCTGCGTAATGTTCCAAATCCGCCTTTCAGATCATAGATTACTGTGCGTGGAGTGTAGGTCTCGGAACCATCCGCTCCAACTCCCGGTCGAAAGTGAATATCATGAACAACATCACTCTGTTCTCCGTCATATGTAAAGTACGATTCCTAGTTGTGTATCAGAACCATTGTTTGTATCTGACCGCAGATAGCAGTACCTGCAAATTCCAAAAATGTGTTGCTAGGTAGTTAGCCCGCTGGCCCAGCTGAAGTGTAACAATTTCATGCATGTTGATGGATGAAAATGGCAAATCGCTATGTAGCCCCTCAGTAAATTTTGATATCGAGAATGCCGCTTGGAGGCGCACAGACACAACCAAAAGATGACGCTAGGCCTGATATGGGGGAACACCACACGTGATTGTCTAACCACATGTGGGAAGGTTCAGAGTCACCAGGGCAACAGTCACATGATCCGTCCGAAGAGGGCAATAAACATGTTTCTGTTGGTGCGTCACCACCCTAACTCCACAACGGCGATTTTCCCTCGTGAATCTCCTTAGTCCTGTGATGATTCTTTGACCTTTTGATCTTCACCGGCTGGATCCATTACTTGTCACGAAGCATCTACGATGGAGTCTACAACACGTCCCATCCTGAGCCCCTCAAAAGCGCTCTATCCGGTGTCGCCGGAACGCATGAATCAACAAACCATACCCGCCTCTCCCTCACTACCTTCCGATCTCCTCACACTACATCACAAGAGCACTCGAGGTGTTTCAGAAGTACAAGCTAAAGTGGCGTTTCTAAACGGCCTCTCTCGAGGAGGTAGCCCTGCCAACTCTGCCGCAAGCAATGCCGCCCTACAACGGGCTATCCTAGGCCGCGAGGAAGCAGAGTCTGCCCTAGCCATTGCACAAGAAGAGTTTTCAGAAGCACAGACACGAGAACGCCGGATCAGTGAACGCCTTGAGTCGTTACTGGAAGAGCTACATGGTACGAAAGAACGCCAGGCCCACGAACGGTCAATTTTTGAAAAGGAAATCAGAAAAGCCCGCAAAGAAGCTTTTCGAGCTGGATCGACCTTGGTCAAGCTTCAAGAAGAATTGAAACACGCGAAATCAGAGGTCAGAGCACTGAAAGATGAAGTGGGAGCAGAACGCGAGGCGAAGGACAAGGCCAAACAGGAGGCGTTCGAACGCGCCTATGCTCTCGCTGGTCTTACAGAAGAACTTCAAGTCCTGAAAGAGAAATTCCGTGCCCTGGAAACAGAGAACCACTCGAGCACCCTCGAAGTCCGCGCCCATGAGATTCGGAAAGAAGACTTCGGGCGACTGTCAATAGCAGAGGGCGACCTCGCGTTTTTGACTACTCCACGCAGAACGAAACGAGCTGCTGCGGGATCTGTTCGATCCCCTGCCCCGGCACGTGAAGAAGACCACGTAGAAGCCACTCCTCCCAAACGCCCACGTTTGTCGGACTGTGTACATAAGACAGAGAGTGAACAACCCGAATCGGAGACGGTAGCGGAACTGAACGCGGATCTTTTGGAGGAGATGAAAGAAGAGTTAGTCTACGAGCGTCGCCGCAGAGTCGCAGCCGAAGATATGGTGCATTTCCTGAACATCGAGTGCCAGTTTGAACGCTGCTCTTGCAGGCTTGCTGAGAGCCAAGGTCGTCGCTACATTTATGATGCTGATTACTATAACAAATTCCAAAAGCCTCAGATCGAGGCGGAAGAGAAAGCTCGTGCTCAGCAAGCCAGCGTTCAACAAGCTAGTGTCCACCAAGCCCATCCTCACCCAGCCAGCACCCCCTCGGCTAGCCCACCCCCTCCTCCACCCCCCGTCCACCGATCTCCTGTTCATCAGACCACCGCTCCCCAGGTGCTGTCTCTTCAACATAGCATCTACCAGGAAGAACACGAGCCAAGCCGTACCCCTCTGGCCGCGCCACCTGTTCCTGTCCACCAGCACACCGCACCTACCGTGAAGGCCGAACCTATAGATCTCCACAAGATGCAGATGCCAGCTGAGCCCCTAATTACATTTTCTCCAGAGACTGGCACATTCACGGCATTCCCATCTCCTCTCCGAGACAACGTCAGACCTCCGCGGTTGGATTTCTTCAGCACACCTGATCTCGCCGGGGCTCAGCCGGGTGTCCACAAAGGTCAAGATGATGCCTCTGTATCACCAGACCAACAGGTCGACTCGCTCACGCCCTCTGGGGAGCCAGCTCGGGCTAGAATGCCCCGTCCCGCCCCATCTGATGGTGCCGCCGAACATACTTGTGCACCACTTTCCGCAGCGGCCAATCCGTCAAGATGTGTCGAGAGAAATCCCCTTGGATACCGCCAGCCCATCAACCCCCCGAAGAGAGCTCCGTCCCGACAAGTGCCACAGGCACAGCGTACTTCGCACCCTGGCGTTCCCGATACACCAATTGACCGTGAACAAGCACTCGCACAGATTAGGGCGCGACGAGGCCGTACGCATAGCAAGCAGCGATCAGTCAGCGCCAGCGAGCCTGGCCGTGCAGCTCGCGCCTCAGCGGGATTGAACCCGACCCCTGTTCGGGGACCTCGACGTCTTCCCAACTCCAATCTTCGGGCTGATTCGAGGACCGAGAACGAACTCGGTGAACGCCGAGATATGAGTGCTCCTGTTCGGATGTTCCGACGTCAAGGAATGCCCAGGGATTAAAATCTCATGATGCATGTTTATGTCTTTCTTTTGCATGGTCTGTCGGTACTTGTCGTTTCCTCTAATACCCCCACCCGGCGCTGCATTAATTGTCTTTATTTCATTTGCATGGCGATTGGAAGCAATGTGGTTTGTTTGTTTGTGTTTGGATCTTGCAGCTCCGATGTTATGTGCCTTAGTATGCTACGGATTTAATTTTCCAACTCTCTGTCCTTCCTTTGATACACGTTCGGCTCTACTGTTGGTCCCTCTTTCCACATTTCCTATGTCTGTCTCATTGTGTTTGTCTCATTTATCTTCTTCTCTATGTGGATTCTGATTGCTGAGAGAAAATCCCTCTTCATATAATCACAGTCTTATACCATAAATGAAAGTTTACATGATTCAAAAAATACACCTTACGAGTAAAAGTCCAGCGATGATCAATTTTTGCCTACACCCTCCTACCAACATACATCTCCACAACATGCTTTAAACTGCACATTTGGTTGTTTTTAACACAAAATAGATTAATTAACAAATTTTAAGGCATTTACTGCCTAGTGCATTGCACTTTTACTTTCCGCCTAACTAGTAAGCAATCTCCCAGGCATAGAGCGGATTAATTGCATCCTGATTATCACATATAGCATTCATAGGATGCGTCTGGTCCGCCTAGGTCCTACAAGATACCTATCTCTGCCAATTTGGGATACAGCTTTACCATTTGAAAATTTCATAGCTAAGCGACCCTTGCATGTTTTTTTCTAAGAATAACGGACCCTCCGTTCGGAGGGTCCGTCTCCCAAATGCAACTATACCTCTTACCACAACAGTTTTTAATATTGCAGAAGTTTTGTAACCTAGGATATTTAACAATCTGGTCTCTTTAAAAATACCATATTCGAGTTCCAGCCTAGGTTTTAGCAAGCCCTCTTATAATATTGTGATTTGAGATTTCAACCTACCCTTGTCTCTTGCACAGGATATTCAACTAGAAAAGCACAAATTGTGTGAAGGACTTTTCAACAAATAAGCAAGAATATATCGGAACTGCAATCAAGTGAACCATGTTGAAAAATGTATGGAGTATAGTGACCTACAATGATGTTTAATATATGTCCAACAAAAACGTAAATCCCCCCACGAGGATCTTCAAAAAACAGCTCTCAATGAAAGAACAGCGAATCGGCTTTTTACAAAACTGAAATCCCACAGCATCTAATTCTCGCACTGTCAACCTTAGCGCCACGACCCCACCACAGAGAAACCAACTCCTCAACAAACACCCGATCTGTCGCACTCCACACATCAAGCCCCATCTCCGCCATATCCGCCACCGTAATCGTGACAGTTTCATGCTTACTGCCGTGGCGGAGACCAGCTCTCGACTCGTGACTCGCAAATCCGCTCACATTCGACCGCTGCCGGAGCAGAGGCGAAGTCCCTTCGTCATCGTAGATAGACTGGCGAGACATGGAGAGCGAAGCATCGGTATCGTCGTCGTCATCGATGTATGGCGCATCATTATACACCTCCTCGTCTAAGTCGCTGTCATAGCGCGCGATAGCGTCAGCCAACGTAACGAAGATCTGCGATGTCAGACGACGGAAGTACGCGACCAGCGCGACTTCGAGCGGCTGCTGGTCTTTGCTAAGGGAATTGCGGAGTGGACTGGGCTGTGAGTTTGAGTTATAGGAAGGGCGGGTGAGACTCTCGACGCTGGCCAGAAGGCGGGAGTCTTGTTCCATCTGCTGTTCTTCTTCTTCCTGTGACAGGCCGTCGCGGTTCTCGCCAGCAGATGCCCACCAGATGAAGGATGTGTACGCCAGCCGGGTCCAGGATATAGGCTCGACGACGGCGCTGGAAGAGTAGGTTGAGTCTGTGTCTGAGGGGTCTTGTTTTAGGGATGTGGGGCGGTCGTTGAAAAATTGGCGGAGGCCGCGGCGGAGCATCGAGTAGCGGCGGGCGTCGCGCTGGGTTGCTTTGAGCTCAATTTGTTGGGTCTGGTTGGGTTTACCGTCTGTGCTATGCACTAGAGAGATTTTGGGGAAGGCTCGCTGGGCGGTTTGTTGTGAGTATGGTGCGGGGACGGTGACGAGGACGTCGAAGAGGTCAGTTTTCATGGTTAAGACGGTGTCGGTGGAGCAGGCAATCCAGCTTGGGTCTGTTTCAAGATCTATGATGCTGCGCGACGGATCGAAGGAGGAGAGGTAGGGGATATCATGGATGCCGACGTTGAAGAGGGGGCGGGGGCGTAGTGGTGGTATACGGTCGTTGGGGAGGAGCTGTAGGAGGGAGTTCGGCAATGACGCTAAGAGAGATAGATCATAGACTGGGTCTAAATCAGCAGTAGATCGATTTATATGCGCATAGGATCGTACCGTAGTTGCAGGATGTGTGTACAGGAGCCTCGCCCATGAAGAGAATCCGTTTGCGAAGCAAAGCGGCTCTGTAGAGGGGGAAGATCAAAGGTCCGAAGCAATCCGTGAAGCCCGGAAGCGATGAAGCGGGGTGAAAGGGTGTCAGGGCCGGCCTGAAAGTTTCCAGCACCATTGCATCGCTGAAGGCGTGGTTCCGACTCGAGTGATCTGGTCGCTCGCCGAGTCGAAACTGAAGACTAAGAGGCGAGTCGAGGGGGGAGTCAGGCGCTGCAGAATCGGTCCCTCCTATCTTATAGGTATCCCAGTAGTCGCGCAGATGCTGCATATCTGACACGTTCTCGGCGTATTTCCTATCAGGCACCGGTGTCAGTAATGATCTCGTTCATTGAGCGTGTCTGAAGATGATACGAACAGCGTCAGTTCCTTGAGCCTTGGAGCGTGGCGCCAGCTCTTCCCAAGTCTTCCGGTGCTTAGAGGCACCAGTACACCAATTGCAAACATCTTCGCATTGCGTTCAGCCTCCGTGGCAGGATGATTGAGGAAGGCGCTGATACCAGCATACTGTTCATGGACGAAGTACCTAGAGGAACAGTCAGCAGATATGGCACCCAAAGCTTTTAAAGTTGACGAGAAACATACACTAGGTCTTCAGTCACATTGTGCAACCCCGAGGGCAGTGATTTGTATTCCACAACCCCTTCGACCTCAACTATTGACTCGGCAGTCAGTATGGCGCATCGGAGCAATTGTAGCCTCGGTTAGATAGTTGATTGCTCACCCCCCGGCGCAATTCGCTTCCACGAGACCTCATATCTATTGTCGCAGATTTTCAGCAATATGTTCCTAAGCTTGAGAGCTGCGATGCCCAGGGAAAGGTGTAATACTAACCCGGCTCTGATGTCGAAGCTTATGACGAACAAGGCGGCAATAGCTGGTGGCGACTCCACAATGGAATGAGATTCGTCAATACCCAAAGGCCTAGTGGGTTTAGATACCATTGTTCAAGAGATTCATGGGGTGCGACACGATTCAAGTAGTGTCGATGAATCACGGTAACCAAGTTGAGGGGTGAGCTTCGTCGGGGGACCTTGTGCATGCGGAGTTGGTGCCTGAGGCAGCACTTCGGGAACTAACTGTCGAATCCTATGTTACCGTACAGTTGAAAACAGATGAAAAACCCGGAAATACTCGGACCGCCATGATGAAGTGCAAATTGCATATTTTGTTTAGTCAGCTTTGTCCGCATCTCTGGGGAAACAACCAGAATACGCAGGAAGTGATCGGCATGATATCGTAAGCGATCTGGGACTAGCTCGGTAACCAACTAACCATAGACTAGATTTATAAGTGGCCGCGTATCAGTTCCTCCTACAGTCCAGAGGTCTCTAGGACGCCTTGGGATTCTAGCAAGAATTCGTCTTGATACTTCTGTACCAACACATTTTCGTCTTCCACATCGCCATAGTGTCTTACTCGGTTAGCAGGCCGTACACCTGAAATAGTTTGCCCTTGAACATACAACATAAATTGGCTTCACCCACAAGGGTCTTGCTATACATTTTATCATTGTAATGAAAAACTATGTTGAACTTAGGAAGTACCTATTAAATTTTTGACTTGACAGGCTATAGGGAATGCTCGGAATACCAGCGTTACAACATGCTACAAAGGACTCCTAAAATCTCAGAACTCCTCAATAGCCACATCAGGCGAGAACAAATATCGGATTTAACCCTTAAGATGAGACTAGGTAGGGTCAAAGCTGGTTATAAAGATTGAAGCATACTTGATTACATTGAGATCTTTCTAAATATAGAGTGTCTCCTCGTTAAGGGTTACCAACATCTTCCTCGCGTCGACAAAGTCTGCTTATACCTTAGCTGCAAACTGTTCTTCGGATACTTTGGAAAAAATGACAAATATCGGTAATCCCTTTTCCCCCCGACTTTTATTATTTAGAGTCTAAATCCGTTGCATAAAAATCAAAGCTCTAACACGGAATCAACTGCTAATTTGACTTGAAAGTCGCAAATAGGTATATTGCGGGGATTTTTGGAACTTCATTTATGAAAGGAGACCACCAGACTCTCTCACAACCCTTTAGCTATAGACAGACTATGTGTACCCTATACTGTAATAGTGGATCTGTATCCATGTGACTCTGACCCTTGTAGATCGGAATCACAAATTACCTTCTCCATAGCGAGTCGCACGAGGGAGCATGCCTGGCGACTGGAGGAGTTTCCACCTTTCACACGGCGGTGTAATTCCATGATGACGAGGCCGTCTGTCCGAAAAGGAATGAGCGTGTTGAATGTCAAAGAGGTCAATTGTTCCAAGAATGAAATTTCTTTGGCCTTGTTCAAGGCCTCATCGGTTAATCGCACAAGAGATATAGGGAACGGGGCCCGCATGTCCGCAATAGCCGGGGAGGTAGCAAGGAAAAGAGCTGAGCTTGGTCTCTTTTATATTTGAAACGTGCCTGTGCAGTTTGATCCGCGGGTTTGAAGTAGAAGCAAGATAGATCATGGGTAGATAGAATTTCTGTGGATATAGTTATAAACACTGCAGCGTAGTGATACGATATAAATAATTTCCGTCGACGAATCTTATTTTGTGACGGATTAGAACGGCCTCCTCCCCACCAAATAAAACCATGGCGCAACCATGCTACCCCCAGTCTCAAGTTCGGCACTCGGTTCCTTCAGATCCAGTCGCATGACTTCCACCTTGGCAGTGTCCGATTTGCTGGCATCAAGAGTAAGGTTTAATTTCTTAATACCTATGGGGATTTCAAGAGGGGTCACTTGTATCTAGATTTGACAACTACCATTCTTAGAATTGGACATTCAACTATATACACCTGTATTGTTCCCAGGAAAGATTGTCGTGTTCCCAGTTTTGTTCATTCTGTATACGAGGGTCTCACGTATATGTAGACGAGGATCAGTATGCTCCCAGTGGAGTCCCAAGCCCCTAGTGACTTGTAGATATTGTACTGTAGACCCAAGCCTAGGGAAGTTGCTATGTGTTATGTCTGCGAATGAAGGGTTGAGAAATTTAGTACCTGAATTTGCTTTGCCAATGCTGCATGGCTTCTCAGATCTTTAAAGAAGGAACAGAAGTAGTCAACTTGTTGTATCCAAACAACATACAGCATCACAAGTTGAGTGCGTTGTGAACTGCATCAAGTGTCTCAGGCACTGGTTGTTGCCTGAGGGATGCAAACAGGCGAGAAGGATGCTGAAAGACAAGCACATTAGATACAAGCTTGAAATGCTTGTGTTGCTGGTTATTAATTTTTGCTTGATTAATTTCATCTCCGATTGTCGTCTTCTTTCAAATTGAAGCTTCATTTGTAGATCCAACTAAGCATGTTATTGGCTAAACTTAAATCCACCCCCTTCACAAAAGGAACCATTTCGACGTCTGTCCCTTGACCTTCCCATGCTCCATACTTTTCTATATTGGTGTTCACGAGATATTGAAATTTTCAGCAGATTAGACCAGAGTTCTAATTGCCAGAGGTACTGCAAACATGCCCAGTCCTCCATCCCATCCATATTACCCTCTCGATGCCAACGTTGTGGGCTATGAGCCCAACCAGACCCCAGTGTTGGAGCTTCTCATCTCTGCTGGTGGGGCGTGTACTATTCTTCTCGGTGCGACTTTCGCGTTGGCCAGCTATGTGAAACCGGCACTGCGTATGACGGATCGAATCGCCATCCTGTGGTTTGTACTCTGTAAGGCGCCAAGACAAGAACCAGTTGAAGGTTGTATGTTGACCATATGGGGATATATAGCTGGAGCTCTGCACTGCTTCTTCGAGGGTTACTTTATGTTCCACCATAGCCACATGGCCTCTGCCCAAGATCTTTTTGGTCAACTATGGAAAGAATACGCTCTCTCAGATTCCCGGTATATGACCTCTGACACGTTGGTGCTATGTATGGAGACCATGACCGTGGTGAGTCACACAGCTTTCTATAGGACAACTCGTGGATTCACCGCTGATTCTCACCAAGCTTCTGTGGGGACCATTGTGCTTTGTTGTTGCATACTTGACCGCAACCAGGCATTCTCTGCGCCACTCGATCCAGGTCATTGTGTGCATGAGCCATCTGTACGGCGACATGTTATATTATGCGACCAGTTTGTTTGACAAGTATGTCCATGGCCGACCATATTCCCGACCGGAGCCGTATTATTTTTGGCTGTATTATTTCTTGATGAACTTCATCTGGATCGTTGTGCCAGCCTGTATGTTCTGCAATTCACTGGCTGCCCGTGACAAGCTGATTTTTTTTTTTTAAATTAGACTATCTCTACCACAGTATCTCCACCATCTCGGCTGCACTCAAGCGCCAGGCAGAAGAAGACAAGACTAAGTAACACCTCTTTCGTCATAGTTGGTATAGTGGGGTTCGAGGCGCAGTGGAGCATTGGGCTAGAACTGTGTTGGTACAAAATCTCAAGGGGATTTGGTGTCGAGTAGATGAGAGGGTCCGAAGGGAGAAATTGGTCTCTGTACAGCATCCTGGATCCCATGATAACCTTACGGAATACAGGATGATTCTATGAGGGCTATCTCTAATGAATTCATTCATCTTCCCAGACTTGATAGGTTTAATAGGCTGAGTTTCTTTAACCACAAGTAAGTACCCTATGACGCTCATGCGCAGACCTGACGCGCAACCCGGCAAAATTTTAAAATTCCTCTGGCTCCCCAGTGATTTCATATTGAATTTTCAGACCGAGGTCATCTTCAACCGAGACTCACCAGATCAGACCACGGGGTGTTTCTCCATTTAACAAGAACTTCTGAGGTTCGCACCCGACTTGGTTTCCCGGCAACCAATTCAGTGCGGGAGGGGGCTTATCGACAGCCCCAACCTCCAGAGGGCCTGATTGTTTATGATCCCTGAAAGGATTTTCTTGAGATCATCCAAAAAGCAAATGCTCCAAATTTTTATGAAGATCTTTGGGGGCTTTGGTAAGTGGAGACTACTGTGACTGTTGAAAGTCAACAAACCCCAAGTTTTTGTCGGCTGTTTTTGACAACAAAACCTTGAGAGAGCGCCCTACTAAGTGTCGCCTTCAATTTTGCTCTGTAGGTACCGATGCCACCTCCTGCGACACCACAACGTCCCTCCAATCGTGGAGCAACTACCAAACCCACAAAACCGCTGGACATCGGAGAACCGCTGGGGGCGCACGATACGAATACGGTGCGTTCTAGAGTGCGAAAATGGCAGCAACAAGGCGGCGGGGTGGTGACGATAGACGATCCCTATGCCGATGATGAGGAAAATAATGCGAAGCCAAAACCAATACCTGCCAAGATCAAGATAGAGAAGCTAGAGAAGCTGGAGAAGCTGGAGAAGGTAGAGAAGCCGAACAAGGGCAATCTCCCGACCACAAGAAATCGCAGCCACAGCACGCCGCGCAAACGTGTCGTGAGTGACGAGCATTGGAAACGAACCCGAAATCGGGCCTCAACCCAGTCCTCGTCGCGCAATCTACCCGCTCCTAAGCGCATAGCCGAATATACCATAAATGAAGGGCCCACGTCCTCACGGGGGAAACATGACGATAACGGAGATGAAGATGGGAAAGTTCGTGATCTCCCTCGACCTCAGGCAAAACGTGGCACCGTGACAGGGTCTAAATCTCCTGTCCAAGACATCAAGTCCGCGGGTGCACGACAGAATATCGACGTCATCACGGAGAGCGACAATGAGACGGACCATCCCAAATCAGTCGAACCTTCAGAGCTCTCGGATAGACTAAAGACGCACTCGCCTCCCCCAGAAGATTTATGGGCAGCAAGCGAAGCGGATTTCTCTGAGCTATCAAGGAGACGCAAGCGCGGCCCAGCGAAGCCTCCCAAGGGTGGTATATTCGCACACATGATCGACGAGTCCAGGAAAATGTTTGGGATCCACGAACCCGAACCCCCAAGACCTATACCCACACCGACTGCGGGCCGGGGTGCCAAAATCGAGGCATGGCTTTCTGACACACCGGATCCTTTTCTGGATGAAGCCGGATCTAAAGTTGATATCCCCGCTCCTCTCGATCTGAAATCGGGGCGAGCAAGACGATCTCAAAAACTTGCAGATGGAGACCTACAACCTGGTACCGAGTCTGAAACATCAACGATCAGCGAGTGCCCGAAGAGCTCCGATCGTCCAAAGTGCGCTGCGAGTGAGCAATCCAAAGAAAATGACCGTTCCTCGTCAATCGAAAAAACACCAAAGGCACAAGATGGCGAGATAACCTTGGAGTCAAAGCGACATAGTATAGATATGACCCCTAAGTCATCTGTCAAGAGCAAAGACGACGATCTTGCCCAAGAGATGCCTTGTGAGGATATTCTCGCACCTTCAGAGCCCGATTTACAGCCGTTGTCCGACAGCGGCTCTGAAGTATCGGGACACAATGCACCTGTACCACTTGGCCCTCACAAGACATTCCCAACCACCGGTTACCACCGTTTATCAACAATTGCCTCGACGGACACCCTGGGTACCACCCTGACAGATGGAACCGAGCACGTGCTGCAGTCTACCTCCACCGAAAATAGTCAATCGAAACTTGTCGAGGAGGCAGAAGAAGCAGAAAAAGATGATCAGTTTGATCCAGACTCGCTGCCGGTGGTATCCTCGCAATTGAAAAGACGGCTTACTACTCACAATGACCTAATGTCTGTGCTATCTGTTCCGGCTTCGCGGAGCAGAAGCACCCGGTCGAATCGGAGTATTCGCACTAACAAAAGTCGCCTGGCCCACGCCACAGTTGATGATCTGCTCTATGAGCTGTCGGGTGACGAGACCAAGTATATGCGCGAGCTGAAGACGCTAGTCGGAGGTGTGATTCCGGTCCTCTTGACTTGCGTGCTGTCCCGCTCTGATTCGGCCATTGCAGCAGGCCTGTTTCAGCCGTCTTTGGACCCTGAAGATGATGTGAACTTCTCAAAGCCGATTGTCGATATGGGAGTAGCGATCGAGCGCCTTAAGAACTTGCACAAGCGAATCCCACAGGACAATGCGGATGCATTGCTTACATGGGCGCAAAGTGCTCAGAGAGTCTACCGCGAGTACCTGAACGCGTGGCGCCTTGGATTCAAGGATGTCATTGTCAACCTAGCTCCTCTGGAAGAAGATGAAGTCACGAACGATGCTGACACGAAGAGCCTGGATGAAGGCTTAGAGAGGGACGAAAACGGTGACATTGTAGACAGTGACGGGGAAAAGGTCGATGTGGCCTATCTCTTGAAGCGACCGTTAGTACGTCTCAAATACCTGGCAAAGAGTTTCAAAGGGATAAATATGCTACAGCCGTCCCCAAAGGCCGAAGAAACCGCTGCCACGTATCAAAGTCTTGTGATCGATGCCCGGAAACGCGTTCGAGATGAAAGAGCAAGGTTGGAAGATGACTCTGCTGCTAGCATCGACCCAACACGCACAAGAGACCCGATGACCTTAGGTGTCCTTCGTGGGATTGGCATTGATCAGACTCGCCATGTTCGTGCTCGTGATTTCTTTAATCTATCGTTGTATCACTCAAGTGGCCAACTTGTGGATTGTCGAGCCGAGCTTTTGTATCGAGACAACCCCTCTTGCAAAGGGCCTGGAGGTGACCTTTTGATTTGTGAAATTGACCACTCGGATCGCTGGCTTTTATTCCCTCCCATGGACCTAAGATGTGTTTCAGCCCGCAGGGGAGAAACAAAACATGAGATCGTGGTCATGCTACGCAGCGCTCCCGGGGATGAAATGAAGTACTGGCAAGAATTACTCTCGCTCCGCATTGACGAAGAAGAAGTTGGGGCTGAGTGGATCTCATTGCTAGGATCTGACCCTATCCCGCCACAAATTTGTCGAAGCCAAAGCTTCATAAGCCGAGCCAAGCAGAACAATTCTCGCAAGCACTCTGCCAATAGTTCTCCACCTAGGCCACACCCAAATGACATCGACATCCCCATCGGCGAGAAGGCAACAGGGAAACGACGCTCATGGACCCCCAAAGAGCACTCGTCTGAGCCAAGGACGGTGAGCTCTGCTACCGATGCCAGGAGCTCTTTGTCCTCGACTGCCACTCGGGAGACGGATTGCACTACTGGAGGATCGGAGCTTTCTATAAAGCCCGCCCGCCCTGAGCTACCTCTTCTTTCGCCAAGTGGCTCGGAAAAGACTTCCACCGGGCTCAAACGATCCAAGGCTAAGAGACTCTCTCGCTATGGGGAAAGCTCAGCTTCTGAGACGGCCTCTCAGAAAACCACTGTATCTGATAAATCACCTGAGCATAGCAGGCCTGCATTCGCCTCTTCTCAACCCCCAAGTACGCCAACGGGTGGTAGATTCTATGGCGAAACGGAGCGATCCCTGGCCACGGGATCATCGAGAGAAAAATCTCGTTCGAAGATTCCTCAACCTCAGAAGACGCCTGTTAGAGAACCCGAGCCGGAATCTCCTAGGGTTTCATCTGTGCCCTCAGCAACTCTCCCACTGATTCCCAAAATCCGAACTCCTAGTAGCCAAACTCACCTCTTGAAATCGACAAGCATCGGCCCCGAAGACGAGGAAGACTATCCTCCACTTGAATGTTTGCCCAAGCAAGAAACACTTGAGACGCCAACAAGAACTAGGAGAAAGAAGTCTCGAAGACGGCCAAAGGATGGTGACAGCCCTCCCCCTCCACCGCCTCATCGCTCGCCTAGTCCTGCCAATGGCAAGCGCTCAAATCCTCCAGTTCTCACTCCTAGTGGTAGTGGACTCAAGCGACGTGGCTCTTCTCCCCTGAAACACGAATATGAACCATCTACAGCTTCGGATTACTCAGAGACCGACTCAGACGCGTCAACAGTGCGCCACTATCCTTGCTCATCATCTGGATCCTCACGATCTGGTGGCCTTTCTGACTCAGAGGAGGACTACTCCTCGGTATCTGAGGATGAAGAATTTGTTTATCCCAAGCCAAGGACTTCTGACACGCTTTCTGACACTAGTTCTCTCTCGCCTTCGAACTCTGTGTCGCAAAGTGGATACCGTACTGTGCCTCTGCAGCCTACCAAGACCAACAAAGCCATTGCGTCTGCCTTTGCATGGTCCAACAAAGGCAACTGGGAGCCTTTGCTTCCTGACGAATGTAACATCGTCGTTAGTCCAGGTCTGATCGAGGCCTTTGCGATGGGCTCTGAACCTGATGAGCACTTCGATCCCATGTCATCAAGGCCACTCATCTCTCTTGAATTGACACCTCTTGTTCCTATTCGCCGAGGAACCGCCATCGATATCAGTATTCGCTCTCCTCCCACCGAGCGATCCACGATTTCATCTAGCAACAACATCATGTTCCGGTCACGCAACCCTGATGAATGCGACGCCCTATATAGTTTGATCAATCAATCGAGAATCAACAACCCAACATATATCGCGCTCCAAAACGCCCGCGGTCCGTTCAATCATCATGTCTCTAACTTCGAGCCTGCCCCGAAATCCGGCGGAGGCCCGTTTGGCTGGCCCCGCCGCAGAAAGAGCTATCGCGCATCGGGCTCCCCGCGCTCTTTAGGCGAAGCATCTGAAAGCAGCGTGGGAACCATGAGCAGCGCCTTCTCTGCCCTCAAACGCCTCGGTGCTAGCAGCAGAATGTTCAACATTTCTCGCTCCACCATCGAATCCCGCACCGGCCGCGAAGGAAGCATCCACTCCGGCTCTGGTGATTCCGGAAACGACCCATCCCCCAACTCGGGCATAGGCCACATCGCCGCATCAATCAAAGGAGCCGACGGCATCGGTCTCTCAAACGCCAAGGTCCGCCTGTACGCTCGTGAATCCGCTTCCAAGTGGCGCGACATGGGCGCCGCCCGTATGACCATCATGCCCGCACCACCCAATAACCTCTCCCGCCCGGGTACTGGCGTCAGCGGCCGCAGTGACAGCAATTCCCCGCATGGTGACAATTCTGACACTGCAAGTGGGACTTCGCCTCCCGGATCAGGCTCGGCTTCCCCGCGCGGCGCCACCTCGGCTGAGAAGCGCATCGTCATCCGCGGTAAGACACGTGGCGAGACTCTCCTCGATGTCTGTCTGGGCGAGAGCGCCTTTGAACGCATTGCTCGTACGGGTATTGCGGTGTCCATTCGTGAGGAGAATGAAGACGCTTCCATCGCGAAGAAGGGTGGTGTTGCTACTGGCTCTGGCAAGATATTTATGATTCAAATGAAAAGCGAGGCCGAGGCGGCTTATACCTTTGGACTTGTTGGTAAGCTCAGGTATTAAGTGCTGTGATGAGTTGACATTGGGTTTTGGATCTGGTGTACGTTCATGTGTGTGAATGAAGTGTGGATATGGGGGAGGATGTTGTTGGCTTTTTCTGCCTCTTTCTCTCCTTTCCTTCTTCATATTTTCTTGAACATCTTGAATCACTTTTTTTTTGCACAGTTAGATTTACCTGAATAATATCCTGGCCGTGGAATAATGCAATTGTGTCTACTTTCTCTCTTCTTTGGTGCTTGGGGGTGCTTCTAAGGATGCCTTCGAGGAGTGTGTGTACAATATGCCTAGTCTAAATCCATGAACATCGATTACAATACATCATCCCACTGAGCAGAGCTGTCTAACTCCTGATTTCCGCCCCATTGGTCTTTTTAAAAACATATCCTATCAAGTTACACTCATCCTTCAGCATGGAGACCAGCACATCATCATCAATGGCAGCTTCAAGCTCCTCATCTTCAACCTCAGTCCCAGCATTAGAATCGGACTCAGCTGCAAGCGGAGTGGGGTCAATATGCGAGTACTGAGCCAAAGACTGGTGCATCTTATCTTTTTGACTCTTCGCATGGCCTTCTCTCTCTTTCGTACCCTTCTTCCCCTTCCCAGCCATCTTAGAACGATAGGTGCCGTCGCGGATAGACTGCTCTTGTTTCTCTATATCGACTTCAGAAGCTTTAACAAGAGTATGAGGTTTCGGCAGCGACCCATCTGAATCATCATCACCACCCTCATCATCAAAGTCAGAAGGCGGATCCGACAAATCCTCAACCTCAGACCCACTCCCACCATCAACAGTAGCAGGTGTCGCAGGCCCAGACAAAGAAGCCTGAGAATCAGCTTGAACACCCCGTCCACTACACCTACAACCCAACAACTCGTGGGTCTGACATGCTCTATCCTCGTCAAGCCTGAACAAATCCCTCAGCTCAGCAGCAGAGAACTGCGCACCACCATTACTGGTATTCTTCTCCTGCATAACACTATCCGCAAGACCGAGCTTAGTAACCTGTCTCTGCCAGATCTTCTCCTCGAGACTACCCTTGAGCAGAACACGGTAGATACGACAAGGCCGTTTCTGGCCGTCGCGATGAATACGCGCCATTGCCTGGATGTCTGTTGCCGGGTTCCAATCTACATCGAAGAGGATGAGACGGCTCGCGCCGATCAGATTGAGACCTGTGCCGCCAGCTTTTGCGGAGAGCAGGAAGGCGAAGCAGGAACTTGCGGGGAGACGGTTGAAGTCATCAACCAGGCCTTGCCGTTTTTGGGCTGGTGTGCTGCCGTCGAGACGGAGGTATGGGAGGCCCAGGGAGGTGAGAAGGGTGGCAAGGAGGGAGAGGGTTGAGGTATAGTTTGAGACTAGAACTATTTTCTCGTCTGTTTTGTTGCGCATGGTGTCAAGGAGTTGGTCGAGCACGCGGATTTTTGCGCTTGAGGAGGGGGACAGATGGCGGTGGAGGGGTTGGGGGATGGATTCGATGAGGGCACTCATTGTTTCATTGGGTGTGTCATCGTTGTTTTTGGCTGTAAGGAGGGAAGGGCTATTGCTGAGCTTTTTGAGGATTGTGATTAGCTGCAGGGCACTTTCGGCATTTCCCATGGCAGTTTGGAAGATCGGGGAAGTGAGGACGGCTTTGTAGATATTTGCTTGAGGGCGTGTTGGTTTGCAGAAGAGGACGTATTCGGTCTTTGGGGGGAGATATTTGGCCAAGATGTCTGCTGTTCGGCGAAGCATGAATTTGGAGGTGAGTTCTCGCAACTCTTCACCTCTGGACTCTCCTTTCTCGATTTCCTTTCTTGTAGCTTCTGGTTGTCTGCTGCGTACGATTGGAGTTTCGAATTCTCGAATAAAGGATTTGAAATTGCCTAGGATTCCTGGGTTAACAAGGTCCACGGCTGCAAAGAACTCTCTCAGATCGTTTTGGATTGGCGTGCCGGAGAGAATGACTCTCTTCACAGCGCTGAGCGATTGGATCGCTTGACCACTTTTGTTCTGCAATGTCTTGAGCCTGTGGCCTTCGTCTGCGATAATGATATCGACTCCAGAACTATTCGCCAAAGCTTCCTGGACTGTTCTGAGCTTCTCATACCCAACAATCATGATACTATACGCCCTGCCCTTGGTGAAATCCGTAAGACGCTTACTCTTATCATCAAAGACGAAAACTCCAATGCGCTCACTGCCGAGCCACTTGCGAAATTCCTTCCTCCAGTTGTTGATAAGAGTGACAGGACACACAATCAAAGCCTTCTTAATAACAGGCGGGGCTTCAAAGACAGGGTTCTGCTTAAGCAAAGTCCAAAGCAGCGCAATGGTCTGCAAAGTCTTTCCCAAGCCCATATCATCCGCGAGAATGGCACCTTCACCATTAAACGGCCGCATACCCATGACACACTCATACAAGAATTTCACACCCTCACGCTGATGTGGCCGTAAGTTCTTGGCCAAGAGAGGATCAACAACAACATCCACAACCTGCCTCCCCTTGGGCACCGATTTCGGCCGCGGCATAACCAACGCACCAACTGCCTTGGGGTCATGACGTGGGACGACCTTCCCGACAACCTTGGGAGTAACCGTGTTCACAAGCAGCGGCGCTTTATAAGCCGCAAATGCCGCCGGTGCGGCTCCAGGGTTTGCGTTGGGGTTAGTAACTAGAGCTAGTGAACGCTTGAGGGACTTGGTCCGCTCCGCAGCCGTAGGTTTGCGTACTTCTCCCTTCTTTCGGGCAAAAAGGGCTTCTTTTTTCAGTGTAGGCGCCGGGTCTGTTGTGGAGGTAGGTGCTTGCTTTTTGCCTTCCAAGAACTTTCTGCCGGAGATGTATTCCTTTTTTGATATTTCGGAGTCAATTTCAACCTCTTTTCCGGAGATTGACAAGGTTGTTCCCGGCTCGAGGAGGGCTTCGTGCACCTTCCGTCCCATCTCCTTTCCAGCAGTGTCTCGTAGACACACCAGATCTCCACGGGTGGAGAGGATTCCGTCTCCATCCCATGTTTTGTGCTTTTTGGCGCTTGGTTTGCGCCTGTCGGGGTTAGCTGGTTCGGTGTAATTGGCACTCGCCGTGTGAGGGATCAATGTTCTGAGGACCTACCAGAGAACATTGAAGTATCTTTCGTCGGATATATCATCTTTGGTCGATCCACTGGATGGTGAATTTATCACACTGTCTGATCCTCGATTGTTGACTTGTAGGAGTGGCTTTCGACTGGCTATTGGTGTTGATTGCACATCCTTGGGTGCTGGTTCATCTTCGAGGCGGGGCTTTTTGGTAGGGCGATTAATCTCATCGGTGGAGCCGGTGGATAATGTAGCGGGATTCCTAATTAAAGGGGACTTGAAGGGTTTGAAAACCATGGCTGTCTTGGTCTCTTTTCCTTGATCAAGATGGCGTTGGGATGAGGACGCGACATAGGCGCGGAACGCGCAATCACGTGAGACTAAATATCAATTTCGTGCATTAAAGGACATGGTCTACTGCGTAGAATCATGTCACAATTGATTTAGTTTTAAAGACTTTACTGCTAACCCTTGAAGGAAAAGAGTCTATATTAAAAAATTGGTGATTGGACACAAAAAAATGATTTATGCTTTTACAGTAGCTATACATAGAGTCGGGAAAAGCCCAACACAAGGAGAAGTGTGCAAATGGTGTATATAACGTGAAGTCGCATCATGAAAGACGAGCATTTTAAAGCTGACAACGAAGAAATACGCTGTGCCAAGCAACGTTGTAAACGTAGAATGGTTCTTCGAAAATCTCAAAGGAAATTTACCGAGCATCATCAGCCAGGGCCTTGTCAGTTGACGGGACATGCTTCGGGCCAACGTAAGAGCCCTGGTGGATGAACCACCAGATGGCAACGAAGATAGAAAGACCACCGGTCATTAGACTGGCATAGTTCATCGTCGCGGCGCTAGTAGGGATGGCGTAAGGGAAGCAGAAGATAACAGCGAAGACGATGAGGTAGGCACAGGACAGGGAATTGATGACGTAGCCAATTGTGTTGTTCATGAAGAAAAATCCAGGGACGAAGGACGAACGGCGGGTCAAGATGTGAGGGAAGATTGCCATGAAGTAAGAAAGACTGGACAACTGCACGAAGCATCCCACAAAGGCGCTGAAGGCGGTAGACGAGCCAAGGTAGATACACGCTAGCACGGTGATGAGGCCGCAGCAGGCCAGGGTGGCGTTGAAGGGGTTCTTGAACTTGGGGCTGATAGTTCCAAGCCATTGTGAGAACGGAGTGGCGCCGTCGCGAGAAATGGTCCAGAGCGTACGGCCGGCGGTGATGTAGCAGCCGCAGGTAGTGATAAAGGTAGGCAGGAAAGCGACAACTAGGAGACCCACAGAGCCGGCATGAGAGCCAGTAGCTTGGCGGTAGATCTCAGCAAGGGGGAAGAAAGTGCTTGGGTCGGACACCTTGTCGAGGTCGTTTATAGCATAGAAGATTGCGATCATGTAGCAGATACCTGTGACAAAACCGACACCCATCTGGGCTAAGATGGCCTTGGGGATATTTCGGCTCGGCCTGTAATTTCAAGTCAGCATTGATACTATTTGGGAATGGGAAACGAGGAAGACTGACTTCGGGATCTCCTCAGCCAAGTGAGATGAGCAGTCAGGGGTGCCAACACTGTAAGCACCGTTGAGCATACCAGCCACAAAGACGAATCCTTGCTGGGAATAACCGGTTCCATTCTCCCAAGTTGCCCACACAAGATTATCGGTAGCATATCCAGAGCCGGTCACATGAGGCATCACAGCGCACACGATAATGGTAACGAACACGCCGGCAATAATGAAGAACATGCCAAGGTTTCCGATGTGAGGCAGTAAGCGGTTCATGAACAGCACGACGCAGCAGCAAGTCCAAGTGCAAAGGAGCAAGCTGACAAAAACGTTCCATTGTGAGGGCACAAAGTCGGGATGCATCTGTATATACATAGCCACGGTCTGCTGAGCGAGAATCAAAGACATGGATGCGGCACCAAAAATCCAAGCCAGGCAGTTCCACCATCCAGCATAGAATCCACACACGCGACCGTACTTGCTTCCCGCAGTGATAGTTGCCCAGTGGTAGACACCACTGGATGAGGGCATCCCCGATGCCAATTCGGCAATTGATGCGGCGACTAACCAGTAGCAGATAGACACAGCCATGCTGAATAAAGAAGTTAGTTTCAACTTCGTTAGACTAGCAAGGGAGGTCGATATACAATTCATAGATAGTCCCTGCAAGCCCACCATTGCTCAGGGCCACAACGACACTACCACCTTGGGCAATCCATGTGTTTCCAGTGGTCACGGCCACAGCACAAATACTGATGAGGCCAAAGTTGCGCTCTACTTCCTGGCGATGGCCTGAGGCGTTGACTAACTCTCCATCAATTGGGCCATCGTGAGTATAGTCCGGCGAAGGTGTGATTTCCCTCTGAGGGACGTAGCTGACCTCCTTCTCCGGTAAACGATTGATCTCACTCATATTCGACGTATTTTAGGGATTTTCAGAATACTCCTTGACGCATAAATTCCGAAATTCACCTCCCGGGCGTAACGAATGAAGTGGGAAGAATCAAGGTGAACACAGATGCTAAGAAAAAGCAAGCAAAACAAGGCGTACAACGTACATTATCAATGTCACGGCTGAGCCGATCAGATCAGGTTGGCTACAATGAATTCCCTCCGGACTCCACTACATTCTCAATCTTGAGCCAATCAACCTTTACTACAGCACATCATTCGATGGCTAACTGGTTCACTGTGGAGTCGTCCCAGACCTATGATTGGGCCACTTCGGAGGCAAGGGGCATTGCATTGTACTCCGAAAGCTCTAGCAAATAAACGCGGTATAGCTATCTTGCGCTTAACCTAGAAGGGGAGCTTCAACAGAAACCTTGGAAAGAATATTCCATGCCCTAGGGCTTAGTGCCATTGATTTCCTTGATCTTTGACTTCATCTCTACTCCGTACATCTTTCTTATTTGAGATAAGAGATACTTCGAGGCTCTTAGGCGGGTCTAATGACCCCAGACTCGTTAAAAAAAAGATGAAGCCATTCGCCAATACTCTAATTAGATTTCCATCTGTGCCCTCCCCAAAAGGATGCATACTTTACATAAAATTTCAATATGCCTATGTTGTAGTTGAAACCTCCTATATTTTTCATGCAGGTTACGTTACTTCGTACCCACATAGAATATGCGTAGTGTTACTCCGTACACTATTCCAAATTTTCTTCCAAGACCACCCCCCCCCCCCCTTTTATTTGAACCAAAAAAACTTCGATTTGCCACTGAGACAAGTGATAACTAAAGTACGGTGTACTCCGTGTCTGGTAAACTAAAGCACAAAAGTAGGCTAATTACGAACCCAGGTAAGTCCTCAAGTAGCCCAGACACATGCACTTCCACCTTCCTAATTATGTGGTCAAGTCATACCAAGTGGTACTGGATGTGGGCCTAAACAATCTACGTTTTTCAAGCTAACACGACCGGGGTGTGTCTCACACAGGTCATATGTCGGTATATGGCTAGAGGGTGGCCTTAGATCAGCCTCTGTATCCACTTAAGACCAAAGTCCCAATGTAAAATGTCCAGTACGGAGTAAATGGTGAGTAACTTAATAGGAAACTATCGGACGCAACCCAAGGATTCTTGACCTTGAGCCAAAACCTTTGGAAGTATAAGTATATAGTGCAGCTGAGTGTGGACAACCTTCGATCTAGTGGGCATACAATATAGTGATCTAGTACAACATAGACCGTGTGGTCTATAACAAAATTGATCTTCCGCTTCAATTAACTACTATTAATCCACCAAATTAATTGAGACGTACGTTACTTGGGATGAATTAATTTGGATAAGTCAGGTTCCGACCTAAAATGGATTCTGCCGAAGTCTAGCGAGATAGAACAAAAATTCAATCTGGGTAAAGTCAGTGTACAATGTACGGAGTACCCAACTTCAGCAGCAGTCTTATGTTCCTTCAAGCTGGAGAGTCGATCAGACATAGCATACTTCGAAAAATGGTCCAAACCCTTGCAATCTCAGCCAATTCAGTCCGATATTCTCTTAAATTTTTCAGTCCATATGCAACATGGGGCATCAAGAACTCTCGTCTCTGTAGGTCACGAAAACGATTCAGGAGACTTCCATTCCGAGTAAGGATCCACTTCGTTTCCACCTTCCAAAATGACTTGAGAGGAAAAGGCTCGGACTAGTTGCTGTCTCAAGGGTGTTGTTAGCGCCCCACTCTCTTACGCTTGTTGCTAATGGCAAACTCTGAAGAATCCGAGTGCTCGATCTGGGCGTGGGCTATTTTGAGGGAAGTCTTCAACAAAGTTAGTTACCACGTCTATCATCTACTGCCTGGGATTTGTTTAGAATTTTGGACATTGTGTTGTTGAAAATCGTCGTTGGCAAACCATGGCATGTATTTGCTGATCACCCTCTCGGCTCCTCCACTGTGGGCCTTTCCCCCAGAAAGAGCTCTGTTGCATGGCTATCTTCGCTTGGTGACGGTTTACCATTGGGAATAGACGTAAAAGATCTACGGATGGGCCATGTCCTATTGCCTAGTCAAGCAGGTAGTAATTGAGTTCGTTATGGATCTACATACTATGTTGTGCTCCGTAGCACTAGTACAGTTCTGACGATATAACCGAAAACCAGCCAAATTTGCATATTTCTACTCCAGGCATTAGATGTTCCAGAGCAGAAGGTGAAGTGGACCACTGACCAAAATTGTTCCCAACGTCTTGAAATCAATTTCCCGTACTAATCCTATCCAAGGAAACGCTCGCCATCAAGAGACCCCACTGTCCCATGGTCACTCTCGGTGCTCCATCTTTCAATGATTGGCGTTTTCTTCATCATGCCTAGAGCTTTCTAGTATACTTAGAACCACCCCTATCTTGTGATTATCGGCATATGCAGTGATCGGGACTTGAAAACTATACATAGCTCACAACCCTGCTAGTTTCTCAAGTTGTTTCTCAAATTGTTGGTGTGTCTGCTTACTCTTATTGCTCTCTTGATTCTTGTTAACCTCCTTTTGACCAGGCCCGGGGTAATGTCTGGCTTAGGGGATCGTTATGCAGTGGAGTTCGCTCGTGAATCATGGGCTCTATATTCCGTCGGCGTTCTAGGTGCCATCTTGCGATGGCAAGTATCAGTTGGATCTCCCAATTAACAAACGCCTACTGACCAAGCACTTTTGATAGGGTTGCTCGGGTTCAACGGTTAGGCATTCGAAATCTTCAGTTCGATGACTATTTTATGCTCTTCGCCGTATTTTGGTATACGATACTATGTGTGTCATTAAATAAAGTCGCATCTGGTGGAGGGTCAAACCTTATGACCGAGGATGATAGACTACACTTGACAGATGAAATTATCGCGGAACGGGTGCGTGGTAGCAAATGGGTCTTTGTATCGGAGCATGCCTTTCTTCTTTGCATCTGGAGTTTGAAAGCATGCATGCTGGTGATCTATGCGCGTATCACGTATGTTGAACCTCAACTTAGATCTTGTTCTGTTTTTTTCCTTTCTTTTTTTTTGGCTAACGCCAACCAACAGTGAAGGATTAAAGCAGAAACGCTGGATCAACTATGTCACAATTTACGTTGCACTAGGGTTTGTTGCATCCGAACTGTCGCTCTTCCTACTCTGTCGGCCATTGTCACACTACTGGGCCGTCGTCCCAGCGCCAGAATACCAATGCTCTTCCTACCAATATTACGAAATCGTGCAAGGTTCCATCTCGATCTCTGGCGATGTCTTAATGCTTCTCATCGCCATCCCGATGCTGGTCCAAGTCCGTGTCCCGCTTAAGCAAAAGCTGATTCTGACGATCCTTTTCGGCATGGGAATCTTCGTCATCGTCGCCGCCGTCCTGAACAAGGTCTACTGTCTCGTCCCATCTCTGATTTCCTATATCTACATGAACTGGTACTTTCGCGAAGCAGCCGTCGCCATCATGGTCACCAACCTGCCGCTAATCTGGTCACTTCTCCGTGACGTCTTCCCCATTCTCAAGAGCTGGACCGGAGGATCCAAACGCGGCACCGATCGCTACAAATCCGGAGCCTGGAATAGCCAAGGAAACTCCAATCTGCCTCACTATGGCCCGTCAAGCCTTGTGCGATCGGGAGTCTTTAGCATGCAAGAGTTCGAGGGCACCACCACGATTACCCCAACAAAGGCGACTGCCTCTGATATCCATATCGGCGAAGAGCACGATGCAAGCAGTGATGATGGCTCGGCCCGCGCTTTGCGCATTCGTCAAGATATTACCGTTACGGTGCAGCATGACTCCCAGCCGGAGGACTATGATGCGATCTCTTCGCGGATTACCCGCGCCCGCGAGGAGGTTTAATCGACTCCTCTTGTTTTCGGGGAAACAATTCCTTTTTTTTACGATTCCACGAATTTCCCCAGGGTGGATTGATACTCGGTCCTACACAAATGTCATTTAATTGTGTCTGGACACGCTCACTTCTACACCCTTAAATTTCTCTATAATTTCTCTATAATTTCTCGGAGATGATCGAGATGCCTACCTTTAGATATGGACTTTTCTCTAGAGAATATACACAAGAATTGGCTCAAAATTCAAACTCAAGAATCGCATATGACACTTTGACTTTAATTTCCAATCTCCACTACACCTCTAAAATTCGACTCTGGTCCCAGTAACCTATGCTCAATACCACGCTTTAGTTATTGCCAATTCCCGTCGGTCATGTCTTGTAGAATTTCCAACTCCCGTTTGGTTGTATTGATCAGGAACTTGAATATCTCGAAGGATTTTTTTCGAAGGATTTGAAAGTGTAAATTCTCAAACTGTTTCATTTGACACACCTCAGGAATCAGCCTTTCCTCTGAGTTCAACTGAGTTGCGATATCCTTCCACGGTCTCTAGCATCCATGTATATGGGGTGCGCACCTTCGGGAGCACTCTAAATATGGGGACATATTGCACCATCTTGCTTTTCTAGATGCCGCTTAGACCTCAAATCACATGGTATGGAACAAGTTGAGTAGTGGATGAAAAGGTTGTCATTTACGTAAAGTCTTTCTATGTTACATTTAATGCCCGGGCTATAGATGTAGTGTAGACCTATTTTGGCTACATTTTTCCGAATTCTTTAAACCACAATCAGCCTCGAGTTCGTGATAACTTTTGATAATAACAAGTCTAGGGGTTTGTTTTGCATGGAATTTCGAAGAACAGACTTGTATTAACATGATTACTGCCAAGGCTAATACGATATCGACTCAAGAACTATCTACCCAGTGATTACTGCGCTAGTACATGAAAAGAGAATGCAAAGAGAGGATACCAACGCCGTGCGAGAACATAGAAAAGAAAGCGAGGCCAAGAAACAAAGCCATAAAGACAAATTTGTGTATCATCTCATCGCTGGGTATGTTCAATTCTTTTTTTGGAAATAGGAAACTGTGAGAAAAATTCATCTGTTTAATCGTATAGATCAGGCGAGACGGGGTCATCATCCATCTCAGCATCGAGATCATCCTCATCCATCATGTCGTCATCGCTGTCGTCACTGCTCTCCCCAAGCTCGTGATTAGGCAGGACGTCGATGCGACCTTCGCGCATGACAACTCGGGCGCTCTCGCCATCCTTGATACTTCCGCGCAAAATGAGGACAGCTAGACGGTTGAGGACCTCGCGCTCGATGAGTCGGCCCAGTGGACGAGCACCGTAGGCTGGGGAGTAGCCTGCTGAGCCAAGGTAGTCCTTGACTTCATCCGTGCACTCGATGTTGACATTGCGCTCGTTGTGATCAAGCCGTTTCTGCACCTCGGAGAGACGGAGGTCCACGATCTTGCGGATCTCGCGTCTGGTAAGACGGTTGAAGATAACGGTGCTTGAGATACGGTTGAGGAATTCCGGCAGGAAGTAGTTGCGCAGTGCTTCCATGACCAACTCGCGGGTCTGGGGATCGATTTTACCATCCTTGGCAGTGGGGCGGGCGAGATATTGGGCACCCAGGTTAGAAGTCATGACGACGATGCAGTTCTTTGCGTCAACGATACGGCCCTGGCCGTCAGTGATACGGCCATCATCCATGAGCTGCAGGAGAACAGTAAGGACTTCCTTTGCAGCCTTCTCGACCTCGTCGAATAGCAAGATCGAGAATGGGCGGCGACGCAGGCTCTCGGTAAGTTGGCCACCGGCGTCATGTCCAACGTATCCGGGGGGTGCACCGATCATACGGCTGAGCGAGTGTCGCTCCTGATACTCGGACATGTCGAACCGGATCATTGCCTTTGGATCATCGAAAAGGAATTCAGCAAGCGCTTTTGTGAGCAGGGTCTTACCGGTACCAGAGGGACCGCAGAACAAGAAGCTGGGGGGTGCGTTGGGGTTGCTGAGACCTGAGCGCTGCAAGCGAATAGCGTTGGAGACCGAAACAACGGCATCCTTCTGGCCAACAACAACTTTTCCGAGGTATTTCTCCATGTTGAGCAGCTTGTCCTTTTCGGTGGTCTTGAGTCTCATGACAGGGATACCGGTCCACCGCCCAACGATTTCATTGATCTGGTCAGGACCAACTGCATCGGCAAGAAGGGCTTCACCAGCATCGCCTGACTGAGCGCGTCGTTCAGCATCGGCCTTGGCCCGGTCGGCCTCGAGGCGCTCTATAAGGCTCTTGGTCTCTGGAATGGCGTAGTATTCGAGATCAGCGGCTGTCTGGGTATCGCCTGAACGTTCGGCTTCGTCACGCTTGACCTTGAGAGAGTCAAGCTTGATCTTGGCCTCCTGAACTTGACGGCTGCGTTGCTTTTCACTTTCGTACTTCTCGCGCATGGGCCTGAGCTCCTCGCTAACGTTGGCGGCTTCTTGTTTGGCAGCCTCAAGACGAGTCTTGGAGGCGTCGTCCTGCTCGCGCGAAAGAGCGTGAATTTCAATCTGAAGCTGGCGGGCCTTTCTTTCTAGTGTGTCGAGAGCTTCTGGCTCAGACTCGCGGGTGACTCGGACTGCAGCTGCAGCCTCATCAATCAAGTCGACTGCAGAATCGGGAAGTCGACGAGCTGTCAAGTAGCGAGAGGCGAGAGTGGCGGCAGTAACGATAGCTCCGTCAAGAATGTTGACACCGTGATGAGCTTCATATTTTTCCTTTAGACCACGAAGAATCGAGATGGTCTCTGGGACTGTAGGCTCCTTGACAAGAACCTGCTGGAATCGTCGCTCAAAGGCCTGATCCTTTTCAATATACTTGCGGTATTCAGAGAGAGTGGTGGCACCAATACAATGCAACTGGCCACGAGCCAGCATGGGCTTGAGAAGGTTCGCAGCGTCCATACCACCTTCGCCGCTAGATCCAGCACCCATAAGTAGGTGGATCTCATCGACGAAGAGAACGACGGTATCCTTTGAATCTTCAATCTCCTTGAGAACACCTTTCATACGTTCTTCGAATTCACCGCGGTATTTACTGCCCGCAACCAAAGAGCCGACATCGAGAGAAAGCAAGCGGCACTGAGCTAAGTTGGCGGGAATATCGGCGTTGACAATGCGGCGAGCGAGACCTTCGACAATGGTGGTCTTACCCACACCGGGTTCACCGATGAGCACAGGATTGTTCTTCGTGCGTCGACTAAGAATGCGAATGACGCGACGGATTTCCTCTTCTCGGCCAATGACCGGATCGATCTTGCCCTCCCGGGCCAAGGAAGTCATATCAATAGTGAACTTCTTCAGGTTCTCATTCTCGCCTTCCGCATCGGCGGTCTTGGAGTCGACCCGCTTTGTACCACGAATTTGCTGAATAGCAGTGTCGATCAACTTGAGATTGGGGATGTTGGCATCGCCCAGAGCACGCTGAACCTGTGAATCTTGGCAGACGGACTGGATGAGATGATCAACCGCAACGAAGCTGTCCTTTTGGGTCTTCGATAAATCGGTGGCTGATCGAATGACTTTGGACAGTTGGGGAGAAACACTAGGGTTTTCTGGAGGAGGGTCTTGACTCGGTAGGCGGACCAGTAGCTTCATTAGCGATCGATCGAGGAGCTGAGAGTCGCCATGAGCCCGCTCGACGACCTGACGGAAGAGAGGGGCGGTTGATGAATTATGGGAAGCATGGGCACTAGATGGAGTCTGTTGATCTTCAGACTCATCCGGGGAGGGGTTAAGCAACGCGACTGCCAGGTGAATAGGCATAATCTGGGAATGTGCATATTGCTCACAGAGGCCGCTGGAGTCCAGCAAGGCCTTGTTGGCCCGATCTGTGAACTGAACGCTGTTCATTTTGAACGGAAGAGTTGGGTAATGTCAAAAGTTGTAGATGCTGATGTTCCGAAGTATGGAGTCGTAGTTATGCAAGAGTTGTAATTTAAGAGTAGAAATTAATTGAGTAAGTAGACTTGGAGATTATGTAGCTTGAACCACGACAATGCAAGTTTATATGCTCCAGGCGCGCGGGGTGCCCGAAGCTGCCATCAGGTCCATGTCGTCACTACTGGCTTCCACCGCCTTCCAGAAGTTGCCTGATGTTGCCTGATGTTGCCTGATGTTGCCTGAAATTGCCCAACTGCGCAAGGATCACCCGAATGTACCGGGGAAACTATTGCTCCGGGATAATTATGGATTGCATGAATATCGATACACTCACTCAATGACAATTACATTCTGCTACACACATGTGCCCTAATTTAGTCAATTGCCAACTTATTCCAGAAGGCAACAGGTATCACGGTAGTTGCACAGTCAACTAACGTAATTCCCAAGCGAGCTGGACACCCAAGCGAGCTGGACACCCAAGCGAGCTGGACACCCAAGCGAGCTGGACACCCAAGCGAGCTGGACACCCAAGCGAGCTGGACACCCAAGCGAGCTGGACACCCAAGCGAGCTGGACACCCAAGCGAGCTGGACACCCAAGCGAGCTGG